CGTTTGTGCCCTAAACCCCGCCGCTGCTGCTGTTGCTGCTGCTGCTGCTGCTGCTGCAGAATTGTGTGCAGCAGAAGCTGGCGTTGCTGTTGGAGACGCGCTGCGGTGTATAGACAGCGGAGAGCTCGCGGGGGTTTTGGTGCAGCAAGCTGTGCTGCAGCAGCAAGTGGGAAATGCAGCAGCAGCAGAAGATATTTATTCTGCTGTTCTTGCTGCTGTTGAGCAGCAGCAAACCATAGACGCAGGAGTTGCTGCAGTTGCAGTCACCAACGCGTTTGCTGCTGCCCTCAACAGAGGCCAGCAGCAGCAGCAGCAGGAGGAGCAGCAGCAGCAGCACGATTTGGATGCTCTTATAAGAAGAGCCACAAAAGGAGCAACAGAGACACTGGAACGCAAACTCACTGTCCCGCAGGTGCAGTTGCTGCTGCTGCTGCTCTTGCTGCTGCTGCCCTTGCTGCTGTTGCTGCGCCTCGTGTTTGCTGCTGCAGTAGTTGCTGCCGCTGCTGCTGCGTGTTTGCTGCAGGCTTTGGGCATTGGAGTCAATCGGTGCATAGGCCTTCTGAAAGGCGGACGGGTAGGCGCAGCTGTTGCTGCTGCTGCTGTTGCTGCTGCTGCTGCTGCTGCTGCTATGTTGCAGCAGAGGTGTTGGATGCTGCAGCTGCCTGAGTTGATGCTGCTGCTGCTGCACTTACGTCGCGCAGCACCACCCCTCTGCTACCGAAATCCCCAATTCTCGCACTGCTGCTGCTGCTGCTTGTGCTGCTGCTGCTGCTTGTGCTGCTGCTGCTGCTGCTGCAGGTGGAGGAGTGCCGCCGTGTCTTGGCATCGCTGACTTCTCGCTTTGGAAGTTCAGTTTCTTTGCTGCGGCTGAAGGCAGCAGCGCAGGTGCAGCAACAGCAGCAGCTGCTGCTGCTCTTTCTTGCTGCTGCTGCTGCTTCTGCTTAACTAAATGATGTAAACCCTGAAAAGGGGTTTGCGACTGCAGCTGCTGTGCCAGTGGAATTGTTTCCCCTTAAATGCCTCTGCTTCCTAATTAATATAATGATTATTTATCATTTAATCTAATTTTTATTTATTTGTTCTACTTAGTTTTATTTTATTTTATTTATTTGTTGTTCAGTTTGCTGCATCGCGGCCAACAAAAGCAGACGAGCTGCTGAAGCTGCTGCTGAGTTCGCCAGCGCTCAGCAGCAGCAGCAGCAGCAACACTGCAGCAGCAGCAGCGACGGCAACGCAGCGGCTGCAGCTGCAGATATGTCGGCTGGCGCTGCTGCTGCAGCAAGGCAACCGTCAGGGCTTCCGCACTTTGCTGCGGGACGTGCAGCAGCAGCTCTTGCAGCACCTGCAGCAGCAGCAGCAGCAGCAGCAGGGCAGCAGCAGGGAGTACCTAGCGCTGCTGTCTGCTGCTGCTGAGCTGCAGCAGCAAGCTGGGGATGTCGAAGGCGTTTTAGCTTCTCTAGATCTGCAGAGAAGAGCTCTGGAGGAAACTCAGGTAATACTTGCTGCTGCTGCTGCTGCTGCTGCTGTGTGGCTGCGGCGTCTATTGGCTGTGCGGAGCTAGGTGAAGTCAGCAGAGTTGATGCTGCTTCTGCTGCTGCTTCTGCTGCTGCTGCTGCTGTTGCTTCTGTCACTGACACAAACGAGGCTGTTGATGCGCAAAATGCTTTTTGCTGCTGTTTGGCTGAGTGCTGCTGCTGCTGCTGCTGCTAGTTGGGCCTCAGCAGTGGCTTCTGGGGACCCGCGTTGCGTGGCGCGTGCTGCTGCTCTTGCTGCTGCAGAGAAGCCGTTTGCTGCTGCTGCTGCTGCTGCTATTGCGACGGTGACTGCTGCTGTTACTGCTGCTGCTTCTTCAGGGGGCCACAGCGTAGTTATGATTTCTGCTGCTGCTGCTGCGGGTATTGCTGCTGCTGCTATGTGTCGCGTGGCTCTTGCTGCTGCTGTTGCTGCGGCTGCTGCTGCTGCAGCAGCGGCCGACGGAGGCAGCTGGGACCCGACGTCGAGCGCGTCTGCTGCTGCTCCCGTTGCTGCTGCTGCTGCTGCTGCTGCTGTTGCAACTGCTGCTGCCAGCTGAGTTCGAGCTTGTTCATCTGACATGCTGAGCACTTCGAGCACTTTGCTGCTTGTTG